TGTTATGAATCGTAAATATCTCTGTTTCCTGATGGTCTTAGGCTCTAGAGTAGGGGTGTCGAACTCAATCAGAGAAGGGGCCAAAATCTAAAATCCAGCCTAAATCGCGGGCCGAATGGTTTACTGAACAGTCATAAACTGTCATTGTGATGGAAACGCAGCGGAGTGCAGTGATGACAGTGCGGTGCGGGCCACATTGCAAGGCCTGGCGGGACGGATTTGGCCCGCGGGCCTTGTGTTTGACACATGTGTTCTAGAGATATTTACATTACGAGAGAGAGAGGTTGAGAACCACTGATTTAGAGAATTGTTGTTGAGATGCTGCTTCATACAGAGCACCTGCACTACACTGGGGATTCAGTGGTAAATGAGACAAGCCCCTGCCCTCCGGAAGCTCACATTCTAGAAAGGGAGAGAGACACGACGCATGTAACCAAATAACTAAATAGCATAGTCTCACCTACTGCTGAAGAGTATAAGGAAAATAAAACAGTGCCACAGGCTAGACAGCAATGGTGTGGGGAAGAGGGAGAAGACCAAAAGGGTCAGGGAGGTAACCTGTAAGCAGAGACCTTCATTCTCAAAGGAGGCAGCTCTCTAAGAGCTGGAAGAAGAGCAACCAGGCAGAGGGAACAACCAGTGCAAAGGCCCTGAGGAGAGACGAGCCACTGAGGCTGCTTAGAGGGCAAGGAGGGGTTCGGTGGAGGAGATGGGAGTGGTGAAGCCAGCTGTCCGCTCATGGAACTCATTCAGATGTATGAGAGGTCGCCCAAACAGCCAGTCCAAAGTGACAGCCTCCGTCCCCAATACCCTCCCCCCGCCAACCAAATTGTTCCTCCCTCTTTCCTTCTCGTAAATGACCACCCATGCCACTGCTCAAACCACTGTGCTACACACATCCCAAGCCCTGTTACCATCAACTCTGGCTATGGCCTCTTCGCTGGTCTCCTGGCCTTTACTCCGGACCTGAACCAAAGCCCCTAAAACTCTCCCCGAACCAATCCCACTGTCGCTTTATTGCTCCAAAGCTCTCTTCTCTCACTTTGTTTGTATTTCTTGCAACAATCCCAACCCACAAACTCAGGGGCACATATTTATCATCTTTTTAACGGAGAATCTGAAGTTGATCACAGCCACAGGGACATTGAGCCCCTATTCAATTAACACACATTCCTTTAGCGCAGTGTTTTTCAACCTTTTTTGGGCAAAGGCACACTTGTTTCATGAAAAAAATCACGAGGCACACCACCATTAGAAAATGTTAAAAAATTTAACTCTGTGCCTATATTGACTATATATAAAGTAATTCTCTTGAATAGGAATCAAATAAACACAAAGAAAGTATTTTATAATTACTTTATTATGAAATATTAAGTAAACAAAATAGTGAAAAATTATAAAATTCTTGTCTTGTCTGCACCTACGGCACACCAGGCAACATCTCGTGGCACACTAGTGTGCCGCGGAACAGCGGTTGAAAAACGCTGCTTTAGCGGTCCCCAAGCTGACAGTGTTTCCAGCATGGCGCTGGGGATGGGGCATTAATTATCGTACGACTGTTTATGAGGCACCAGCAGCACTCCTGGCCGTGTGGCCAGAGCTTTACAATGACCCTGGCGAGGGAGGTGTGATCATCATCCCATTTGGACTCAGAAAGGTTCGGCTTCTTATCCTAAGTCCCCCAGCTGGCCCTCGCTGTGGACTGAAGTTCCCTGGTTAGATTCTGGTTAAGGGCACATGGTAGAGGGCCGCCTGAGAAGGCACACGGGCATCTTCCTTAAATTGTCAGCTGAGTCCAAGATAACTGGCAGAGCCGAGGCTCGGACACACATTTCCCCAAGATGGCAGAAAGTGTAATCAGCTTGGCCTTCATATCAAGCCTAGGTTCAGCAGGGGTGCAGGGGCAGGTCTAGATATGTAAATCCAGACAAGCACCAGGAATGCTAGGGCCTACTTAAGAATGCAGATAAGCTCCTTTGACCCTAAGTTTTGGTGTTACTTCCTGGTATTGGAGGTATAAAATAAATGCTCTGGGAGGGGTCAAGTTGTCCTCTTCTTCCTGCTTTTCCAGCAGACAGGATGGCGGCCCACCCAGCTCCCAGCTTTAAATCTATCTCTGTGTCTTCTCTCTTTATTTCTATTATTTCTCAATCCCTGGCCACCTCCATTTAGAACCCATTCGTTCATCTCTCTTTCCGTGCTGGACATGGCAAAGGGAGATCCCTGCCATGTCTGGCCCCTGCAGGGTATGCCTGGGTTGCAGGCTCGATCTCTCTCATCATTGATGTTTCTATCTCTCTTTCCCCTCTGAAAGGCCCTGCCCACTCCAGGCCCCATCCCCCAGCAAGGATTTGGAGTTGGGTCTCTCCGATGCCAGAGCCCAAGCTCTTGCTTCTTACGTAAACTTCCTCCAAGATTCAAGTGGGCTCAGAGCGGGGTGCCTTGACCTCAGACCTGGGTGATTGCCTTTCATTCCAAATCAAAGCTTGCTCCCTGGGTTCCTTGGCACCTCCTCAGCCTGGCAAGATAAGAAGTTTAGCACCTTTTGTCTACCCAGCCCTGAAGAGATGAAGGTGTTCCAGTCCTTATCTGGTCTGGCTTTCAGGCCCCCCCCCTCCCCCCGTCCTGCCACCTGCCCCCTCTCATGTGCCCTGTGCTGCCAGGTGGTCACCTTCCTGACATAGGCTGCTGTCGCCAATACCCAGATGCCCTTCAGCCTGTCGGCCTCTTGATCAGGAAGCATTCCCGTGGGAACCATGGTGCCAACATCCGGTCAGAGAGGGCCTTCTGATACCTGCTGGCCCTGCTGCCTCTGTTTTCAGGCCCAAGAACAAAGGAGCTCGGTGCCTGCCGCCCGGCAGGCTGTGTTTGTCCAGGGCGAGGCCTCGCCTGGCACAGATGCTGCGCAAACAGGAGTGTCGGCTTCACAGATCCGCCTCACGACCAGCGGGGCTTCAGCTCGGAGGTGTTGCTGCTAGGCCACCTGCTGAAACGTTACCCTGTTCCAACCAGCACCCCGGGGCAGAGGGGACTGTAGGGCAAGCAGCCCACTCTCTAGGCCTCAGGCTTTCCGGCTCTGCAATGGGAGCGTTGTACAAAAGATCTGTAAGACTCCTTCTGTGGCCTAGGACTGGAGAACGAATCTGGGAGGCAGAGGTACCGGGGTTGGGTATGGGATCTGGGCTTCTGTCTCATGGCATCTCATTCCACCCCTGATTGAGCCCCCATCCACTCCACATTGCCTCTGTCTGGCCAGCAGGACTGACCTCCCTCGGAGCCCTTGAGTACTGGATCCGTGATCCCGTTTACCCCAATGGAGCTTTTAGGATGGGAACTAGGTTACTTCACCGTGAAACAATTAAGTGGTACCATCTTGCTACTGAGGCCTAGATCTGATTTTCTCACTCTGCCTCCAGAAACCTTAGGGTCACTGGGAAAGGCTCAGAGGGACCATGGAAGGATGTTTCTCTAGTTACGACAGTGAGAAGCTGCCTGGCGATAGTGATTCCCAGATTTTAGTGAGCATCAGAGTCATCTAGAGCCCTTGTTTAAAATACCGAATGCTGGGTTCATTATCTCAGAGATTCTGAGTTCCCAAGATCCGAGGTGGGTTCAGGATTCTCAGTTTTTAACAAGCACCTAGGTGATAGTTAGATCTCTGATGAAGTAGAATGAGCATGTCTAAAAGCTATGCAGCCCCGGGTTCAAATCCCATCCCTGACCCTTATTAGCACTATGACCTGGGACAAGTCACTAAGTCTTTCTAGATGTCAGTTTTGTTTGTGAAATGAAGCTAAAATAACATCTACCTCGCAGTAAATGAAACCTATTGTTTCAGAGTGTTTATTGCACTTTGTAAATGTTTGTTGAGCAAACGGGGTAGAAGTCCATTTGTTTAAAACTTGCGGTTCTCCTTGATGTCTCCATCTACCACTCAATCACAAATCCCATTAACTCTACCTCAGAAAACACATTAGACCTGCCCATTCCTCTCCAGCCCTAGCCAGCTACCACTCTAGCCCAAGCCACCACCTTCTGCCTGACCACTGTACAGCGTCCTCTCCGATCTGATTTTCTCCAAGACCTTCACATACTATTCCTTCCCAGAGCAGCCATGCTAATCCGGTTGGGTAATGTCTCTGCCTCCGGCCCTGGCCCTCAGAAAAGCCTTATGATTCTGGAAAAAATTCCCTCTGGTTCTTCCATACCTATTGCTAAGCCCTTTCCAGCCCTTCTCAGACTCTGCACTCAAGATCTGAACTTCTTTCAGGTTTCTTCCATGAATAGCAGCTTCTCTTAGCTTGGGACTTCACACAGAGAGTGTTTGCTCTGCCCTGAAACAGCCACCGCCCCCACTCCCAGGACACACACACACTTCACCTATTCATCATTCATATTTCAGCTTGAATGTAATTTCCTCAGGGCCAGACATAGCCATCCCCCTCACATATGCTCTAGTAACTCTGTCCTTCCTTCATAATACCTGTTACTCTCGGCTGTGATGACTTCATGCCTGCTTCCACCAACTAAAGTAGCTCCAAGGAAAAGAACACACACCTCTGTCTTATCCATTGCTGTAGCCAGGTACTGGAGTCTTTGGCTCAAAGAAGGATGAATTGACGGCTGAAAAATGAATGAATGAATGAATGAATGAATGAATGAGCGGGAAGGCTTTGGTCGCAGGACATTTGGAGGTGAGTGCCTCCTGATAGTACCTGAGCTGAATTTAGGGTCTGGATGTGCCTGGAGAAAAGACAGCCACGTGGGGGGACGGCTCTGGACATGTACCGGCCACAGGAGGGCGCCCCCGGTTCATTGTACCTGGGTAGCAGCTCCTCGATTACTAACCACCCACAGGCGACGGGAGGCGGGTTTTCCATCTGATGGACGGCGTTGCTCCGCCCAATCTAATTCATCTTTTCCTCGGCCCCGCCCACCCCAGGTCTTGCAGACCCCGAGGATGGGCTCGCTGGAGGTGCCGCCAACTGAGCTCCCGCAGAGCGCGGTCGGGGCAGAGCCCGCCCGCCTGGCGGCCTGTGAGTGGGCGGCCGGGGGCTGGGGGCGGGCCTCGGGGCTGACGGGCAGGCGGCCGTCCCCGCCCCCCTCGCCCAGAGCGGCCGCGCCAGCGCCGGGCATAGCAGAAGTGAGTACGTGAGCGGCGCAGCCAAGACCCGTCCTCGGACCCCTGACGCACCCCGAGTCCCGGATCCGAGTTTGAGCCCGCGACGTACCCCGGATTACCGTGCACCCCGAACGACGCGACCACCTGCGCTCCTTCTCGCTCCGGCTGGCCTCCCCAAGCCCTCTGGCTCCGAGCTCTCCAGCGCCCAATCCTCCTGGACCGGTCTGTCCGGATTCCCGCGGGAGACCGACCAGCCAGCCAGCATCGCCGGCTCCAGGCGCTGCCGCCTCGGTCCCGGAGCCGCTCGCCTGCATTGCACCCGCTCCCGGCCCGACCGACCTCCCGGGGACTGTGCGCGACGCGAGCCCGCCGCGGAGCCCGAAGCGCGGACCCTCCCCCGGGCGGCCGCCCGCAGCCCCGCCGGCGCGGCGAGGCGCGGCCCGGCCCGGCTCCCGGAGCGCCCCCGGCCATGGCCCGAGCCCGCCCGCCGCCGCCGCCGCGCCTGCCGCTGCTCCCGCCGCTGCTGCTGCTGCCGCTGCTGCTGCCCGCCGGCTGCCACGCGCTCGAAGGTGAGCGGCGTCGGGGGGCGCGCCCGAGAGGGTGCAGGCGCTCCGGTCGCCCGGGCGCGGGCTGAAGGGAGCCCGCAGTGTGGTTCCGATCCGGGCTGAGCGCACGCCGGAGGAGGGTCCCCCACCTGCGCCCGCTCCCGCTCCCGGGGCGGGAGGAGAGGCGGCGAGGGCGCCCCCCGAGGCGCCGCGGAGGCTCCGGCTGGGTCCGAGGCCGGCACTTGCACGGGCTGTACGATTGCGGGCCGCTGGACTCGAACGTCTGTCTCCGCGAGTCCCGGCCGCGCCGTGCACTTGTGCAGCGAATACCCCGCGGGGAAGCGGGGCCCTCGGTACCTCGGGGAGGCCAGGTCGTGCGGGCGACCCCAGCCAGGTTCCGAGGCTGCGGCAGAGCGGTGGGGAGCGGGACTCCCCAGGTTTGGGGTGGGGTGGGGTGGGGAAGACGGCGTTGGTTAGGAACCCGTTGGAGCTCATTGTGAGCGTGTGAAGGAGTGCACCCCGCTTTGTCAGGGGGTGGCAGCGGGGGTGGAGAGGCGGGGGCCTGTTATTGTTGATGGTTTTATTGAGTGCCAGTTGCACCTGAGGTGTTACGGGCGCTGCACACTGCTCTGAGGATCCCCCGCCTCCACCTTCTGCCAGGACACCCCCCAGCGCTCCGGTCTCCATGGAACCCCTGAGGTGGTGGGGCTTGCCCCACGTAGCTCTGGATGGAGCCCTGTGCCTTCCCCATTAGCCCAGTGGGGAAGGCCGGGCTTCTCAATAGCCTCTGTGAGCCCTGCCAAGACTGCTGCTGAGAGGGTAGCTCCAGCTCCCCGATGGCTGTACTTGGATGAACGGCCCGAGTGTTGTCGGCGCTGGCGAGGGAGCTCACTCACGGCCACTTGACACCGGCCTGCCAGGGACAGGGGCGCTGACATTGGCCGCAAACGACACACACACACACACACACACACACACACACACACACACACACTTTGCAAAATGCCCCAGCCATTAAAATGAGGGAAGAAAAAAACCTTCTGTAAGGTGGAGGGAAGGGCACCCCCTGAAATTTGGGGGACATTAGCATAAAGGCAGTCCTTATGTTTTGATATCTTTAACAGATCTAGCCACTTTCTTAGCTGAAGAACAATAACGACTTCAGTGTAACTTGATTTGTTCACATGCTCAGCATGGGTAAAGTTAAAGGTTGGAAGGAAAAAAAAAAAGAAACACAGAGAAAGGCATCTTCGGGTGCTTCCTGATTTTCTCCTATGGACCCCTACCCCCCCTTTTACCTCTGAGCCCGCCGGTGCTGACAGACCCGAGTCCCCTCCGGTGGACACATGCAAATTCAGACAGACACACCAAGGTCGCGCCCACACTTGTGCACACTCATCCACATGTGTGTGATAGGATCGCTGGCGTGAGAAACCAGAGTGGGGCTTTGTTGTTGATTGCCTCAAGGGTGTGAGCCAGGGAGCCTGATGGAGTTCCCAGGTCTGAGTCTTAGCCCAGGAGAGGCGACACAGGCACACACGCTGCTTATGGGGCTGTGTGTGCCGGGCCTCAGGGCCCTTGTTGTGGGTGTGGTGGGTGCTGGTGCCCAGATTAGGGTGGGGGTGTGTGGTCTCTGCCCACCCCCTCTTCCCGCCTTCGCCCCCACCCCCACCCCCACACTCTGTCTTTTCCTCTCTGTCCCCATCCCTTTCACCCCTCACAATTTGCGGCAGCCCCTAGCAGGAGCTGGCATCTGGAGACCGAGGACCTGAGGGGCTGGCTAGGAGGCAGAGACCTGATGAGCTGTAGTCTCTTCCCATCCCTCTCCCGCCCCCTCAGCTCTGAGCGCCTGGGCCAGTGTGCCCCTAGGAAGCAGAGGGTGGCTTTCAACACTTCCTTTTGCCAACCTCAGACCCTCGTGTCTTGAGTTTGTGTGTGAGAAAATGAGAGGAAGAGGAGAGATGCCTCAGGGCATCGATCCTAGCCCTGCCCGTACCCCTACTCCCCCTCCAGCTCCCCCTCACAGGGAGATGGAATAGGAGAGTGCCCACCTCCTGTGGCTATTGAATCCTTAATGTGTGTAAAGTTCTTAGCGCGGAGCTGTGGCTATTCAAGGATTCGCTGTTATTGTTATTACTACCCTAGGGTTTGCTCCTTGGGGAACCTCAGAAGTGGAAATTTATGTTGTGTCCTTACCCCGTCGGAGGGCAATCACTGGAAAGAGACATGGGGAAGGGAAGGATGGGAAGAGAGCCGGCTCTGACTCTAGCCTGTCCCCCACTCCTGTCCTGGAGCTGGGAGTTGGGATGGGTAGAGTTGGAGGTCCTGGGCTGTGACCAGAGAGCAAGCACTGGGGATTTCTTCAGCGCCCCAAGCTTTAGGGGCAGGCGGGCGGGGTGCTCCAGTCTCCTTCCCCAGCCTTCCATTTGGCTTTGCCAGTTTGCTCTGGGCCTACGGGAGACTTTGGCTCTTGCAGGGGGAAACGGGGGGATGGGGGGGGGGAGGGGGGCTTATATTTAGGCTCAGGGAGGAGGGCATTATATTTAGGCTCAGGGTCCTTGGCCTAAGGGTGCTGCCCCTCATGGACCCACTCATTAGACACTGCCTAGTACCGGTTGCTCTTCCCACCCTGCACACTTGGGGTTCAGGAAAACTCCGTATCGAAGGGATTGCATTCGCGTTCTGTGAGGATGGAGCCCACTAGCTTGTCCTCCCTGGTGGAAGAAATACCCCTCCTTTGGCCCTTTGATGGATTACCCCACCCCCCAACACGCTCGAGGTCACACACACACACACACACACACACACACACGCACAATTGTCCTCGGGTTTACCCGCTGACACAGGGAAACAAGGCCACCTTGTTGCTCACTTTCCTTTCGAGTAAATGCTCTCTCTAGTGTCCTAAGCCGGGATCCTTCTCTGTCTCAGAACCAAGAATGGCTATAGGAGTGGGACCCAGCAGGCGAGCAGACCGGGAACGGGGTGTGGGGTGGGGAAGGCTGCTTGAACCGTAGGTCCCTCATACCTGTGAGAGGATGCGGAGGCCCCTGTGGGAAATGCCAGAGCCTTTGGAGAAAAGAGAAAGGACAGCGAGATGGGAAGCCAGCGCAGCCCCCTCCCGGCCGGCCGAGCCCCCACGGTAGCTGAGCTGCGGCTGCAGGGGAATCGGTCCCTGAGGGAAAGGGGCCGGGTGTGAGTCCCGCTCTTTCTCGGGCGGCAGCCTTGGCCCCTGTGTGGGTGCTGGCCCAGGGGGCGGGGGACAACAGCCTGGGATTTGTGTGGCTGGCTCCCTTGTTTGAGTTGCCTCTGGTGGCCCCCACTCCCCGTCCCTGTTTGTTCTGAGCTGGCACACCGAAGAGCTGCTGCTGAGGGACAGTGGCGGGCATTTGGGGAACCAGTTTGTTTGCCACTGCCTTCCCTTTAGCCAGAGCTCCCGCTGCCGCCGCTGCCACGGCCCCAGTGGCCGTGAGCTAACGCCGAAGCTGCCCGACCGCCACCCTCCGCTGCCGCCGCCACCGGCCTTATACTAATTAAACAGCGCGAAGAGGCTGAATCACCAGGCCTCTGCATAGTTTTAAAATTGTAGCCCTGCCTGTTGTGCTGAGTCAAACTGGTTTGTCGGGATCGGGCAGCTGGGGGAGGGAAGAGTGTGGGGAGGGAGCCCGGGTACAGCTGGGCACCTGATGGGGTGGGTGAGGCCCCTTGCCCTGGGGGCTGGCCCTGGCGCCAGGTCTCCTATTGCCTCCTGTCCCCAGACTCCTGGCCAGGCCCACGGTGACCTGGATCCCCGGGAAGGGCTCAGAGGCCTCCCCTAAGGGCCAGCTCTCCATCCATCCTCGGGGCTGGGTGGCAGGGTCAGGACCGGGGTGGGGGCATGGGTGAGCACCAAGGCATCTGGGCCCCCTGCCCTGCGCCTCTTCCTCCCTTCGCCTCCCTCTCAGGTTTATTTAATTATAAATCCCCATGATCTGAGGGGAAGAATGAAAAGCAAAATATGTTCTCTGTTCTGAGATGTTCCCCACTCCTCCTCCTTCCCAAACTGGAGGGCTGCTGCAGCGGGGGCGTGTGGATGGGGGAGGTGGCCTTGGGTGAGATTCGCTCCTCCGGGCCCCAGGGCAGGGTTCCCCCAAGACCCCTCTCTCCTCAGGCTAACCAGCCCAAGTGTGCAGGTTGGTGCATGCATGTGTACCATGAGAGGAGACGGGGGACAGATTCCTGGAGCTGGTTGGCTGAGATATGGACCCCGTGTTGTGTGTGTGTGTGTGGGGGGGGGGGGTGGTGCAACTCAGGGATGGCATGAAGTTCATTCTCTCTTTGCAGGCAGGACTCTGGGATGCACCTCCTCACCCAGACCATAGCCCCTCTGTCCATCTGCCCCTGCACCCTCTGCTGCCCCAGCCCTGGGGAAAGACCTTTTCCCCACCTCAGGGTCCCTGGGCTGGAATTTGGCTTGGAGGCCTCTTGCTTGTCTCTGGAATTTTTTGGTTCCTTGAGTTTTCCTGACACCCCTGTCCCTCGGGGTAGGGTGCTGTGGGGCCTGGCAGGTGCGACCAGGGCAGGTGGCAGGCTCCTAGTTGGTGTCCTTGTACCAGGGTGGCCCAGTGAGGCTCTCAGACACAGGCCAGCTGCCCCGTTTTCCTATGCTGGGCCCCCCACTTATGTGTGGAAGTGTTGCCTGAAGTTCCCAGGGCTAGATCTCTTCATGATGCCACCCCCTCCCCAATGGCTCAGGGGCCTGCAGACAGTGCCATTGTGCTGGCAGGGAAGTGGCTTCTCTACCTGGAGAAGCACCATCTTCATGCCCCTGTGCCACCCCCGCCCTTGTGACCTGTGACAGCTCCAGCAGGTGCCAGGGTAACAGGAAGCAGGTCTGGTCCAGGCTGCCCAGTACCACTGCTTTCTTAGCACACACTCCCCCGCCCAACTCTTCCCATAGAAAGACTGTATTTGCAGTGTGTGTGTGTGTGTGTGTGTGTGTGCATGAAGGATGAACCTCTGAGGCTTTATACAAACTCACACTGTGTCTGTATGCTCCTGTGACATGTCTCAGGGCAAATGGGCCTCCGTGTGTGTGTGTGTGTGCAGCTGATGCTAGTGTGTGTGACTACGTAAGAGTCTGTACAGGAAAATGGGTGTTTTTGTTTGCACTTGGCTACCCTCAAAACGGTGCCTTGTGGCTGGCAATAGTGTGTGCAGCCGAGTGTGTGAGGAGAATGTACAGTTGGGTGTGTGTCCCTCTGTGTACTGCCTATGTCTCAGGAAATCTGCACATGTGAAGGCTGTAAGAGTGACTCTTGGTGTAAGGCAAGCCAAATTTGTGTGTAGGAAAGTTTCACTGCATGTGAGCGTCTAGAGAAGACTAATCTGTTTGTGCCATGTGCATCCGAGCGTCTGGGAGAGACAGGCCATGGCTGTGTGTGAAGCTGCGAGTGTCTTCGGGCAGCTGAGGCTTTGTGTGTTTTCGGCGCCCCTGTGTGTTGACTTGTCACTCTTCGGCCCCCGTGGTGGGGGATGAACCTAGCCACTGAGAACGGGGTGAAATGTGTGTATCTGTATGTGTGTGCACAGGCACGGGCCACACAGCTGCTGCCACGTGGCTTCTCTCTGTCGCTTGGAAAGTGCAATTGCTTCATTTCTGAGCATTGAAGGCCCCAGACCTGGGGTCCATTTCCCTGCTTGCTTTTGGGGGTGGGGTGGGGGGGTTCTCTGCTTGACCAAATCCTGTATCTGGGAGTGGCCAGCTACTCTCTGGTCTGCTGCAGCAGCCACATGGTGGAACAGAGGAGAGGGCAGGGGTGCAGGCAACAGCTGGAGAGTTTAGAAACTGCTCGCTCACTTTTCTTTTGTCCTCATCCCCACACTTCATATCCTTTACCCCAACCCCAGCACACGCATGCGCACGCACGCTCACACACAAGCACACACACACACACACACACACACCATGTAGCAGAAAAAAGGTGGGCTCTGCTGGGTTGGGTCTCTCCCTCCCAGTGCCACAGATGCGGGGGGGGGGGGGGTTCTGCACCCCACCACACATACACACACACACACACACACACACACACACCCCTCCTGAGGCTGGGACACAGGCACCTCGGGCCTCTGTCTTGCTGAAGGAAGCCAACCCCTCCTCTCCCCGAAAGAGCAAGCCCCCTCCTCATCGGGGTGACCGGAGCCCTTCCTCAGGCACACATGACTCGAAATCCAAGTCCCCTCCTCATTAATGGGAAAAATGTGCGGAGATTGAGCGATGGCCAAGGCTGAGCGATGGCCAAGGGCCGATCCCCTCCCTCCCTCGCTCTCTCCCCAGAAATTAAACAGAAATGAAGAGCCTCCCCTTTCTCCTGCCCACCCCCCTCTTCCCACCTCCCCACGCCTCCTCCCTCCACTCCCTCCCTCGGAGCCAGCGCAGGGCTTGTTTTAAACTGTGGAGGAATCTGGCTGAAGGGGGGAGGGGGCCGAATATTTGGGTTTAAACAGTTCCAGATGGGTTTGGCACAGGCTGAGCAGAAGGAAGTGCGAGAGAGGGAGGAGGGAGGCAGTCCAGGGAGCGGTGGGAGCCTTGCCTGCTCGGGCGGCAGGCGGGCGGCGGGCGGGCGGGCAGCGGGCAGACTAGCAGGCGGACTGGCTGGCGGGCTGGGGGAGGGGTGCGCTTGGCTGGGCCGGCTCCCAGGGACAGGACGCTACTTGGGACTGCTGGCCGGGGAGGAGGCCGCTTGGCACCCTCCCACTCTGCCTCTGTCTCCTTGGGCCTCCTTGTCTCTCCATCTCGCTGTCTTTTGTCGTGCGCCGCCGGCCATCCCAGCTGTCTGGTCCCGCCCGCCCCGACTCTCACATCTCACATCTCTCCTGCCCGGTGCCGCCCACCGACCGCCTCCAGGAGGCCCCTGCTCTGGCCGCCAGCCTCTTTCCCTGCTCCTCTCAGGGCCCCTGCTTCTGCCCATCCCCTCTTCCCTCCCACTGTTGGTGTCTGTCTGCCAGAGGGACCTATCCGGCCAGCCACCGACCCAAAGGCTGGGAGGACTCACCTGCAGCCTGACCCCGGGGACCAGCGCTGCTGCAGGGAGAGGGCGGGCCTCACTCACCGTGAAAGGCTGCTGCCTGGCTCCCCCATGGCCTCCGTGGGGCCCCAGGGCCACAACTGCGTCCTCCACCACCCTCAGCTCAGACCCCTCTGCAGGAAACTGAGCAAGGCGGCGAGCCTGGAGCCTGTGGGGTTCGGGTCTTTTCCCTCTGGGTGCTCTCGGCCTGCCCCACTGCTGATGGAGGGGCCTCCAGAGGTTCTGGGGTGACTGTGCCCCATTCCAGCTCAGACTCGAGGGGAGGATGGCTGATTGCCCTGCCTTCTAGGCTGTAAGAAAGGAGTTGACACTTCTTTGCCCTCTTTCCCCGCTCCTAGGTCTGATCTTGGGGTCACGCTGTCAGAGAGCAGCGTTGTCCAGCCAGAGCCCAGAACCAGGTTCTGAGGGGAGCAAGTTTTATGTCAGAAACATTCATGAAGAAATAGATAAAGAACCACAAGTCAGAAAAGGATTGGTTCTGTGGCAAAGCCCCTAGCTCTGGGTGCCCAAGGAAGGCACCCAGGCCTAACTAAGGGATTCAGGGAAGGCATCCTGGAGGCGGTGACAGCTTGGTTGAGACTTAAAGGATACACAGCAGCTTCCCCTGTTCCTCTTTTACAGAGGAGCACATTGCAGCGAGTGTGCCCTGGGTAAGGGGTTAGCTGTGGAGTCAGATAGACCTGGATTTGAGCCACCACCTTCCAGCCCTTCACCTCAACTCCTAGCAGTTGCACACGGGGCCATGCATTTATCTGAGCTTTGGTTTTCTTGCCTGTGAAAGGTGTATACCAACAGTACCTTTCCCTAAAGATTGTGGGGGGAACTGCACTAGCTCTCAAGGAGCTGGTCTGGGTCATTCCTGCCCCATCCCCCGGGTGGCTGAGGGGGAGGGGGGCCGAGGGGGAGTGGGTTCTGGCCTGTGACTGCCCTCCCCTTCCCCAGCTTGTGTGGGGCTGTGCCTTTGTGTTGGGAATGGAGTCAGGGGAGGCCTGGGCAGCGGGGTCTGAAGCACACGGCCCTTTGTTCCCGAATAAAGGCCCTGCTGGCCCTTTGTGTGGAGATTAGCCGAGACTGGAGGTGTGTGAACTGGCCCCGGCTCTTGCCTCATTAACCCAGGCCCAGGGTCAGCAGCAAACACCCACGCTCAGCTGGCCTGACCTGACATCTCAGGGGCCCAGGGGCTGTGACATCTCTGGTGAGGGCGGCAGGGTCTTCTCCAGGGCAGGGGAGCTGGGGGGTTTTGGGGACTTAGGGGAGGGGTGGGGTGGTGCCTGGGGGGGGAGTTGGTCTCGTGTTTGGCTTTTCCTGGGGGTCCTCTTCCTTCCCATCCTGAGCTTGGCCCCTGACCTTTTTTCTTCTGTTTGCTTCCCCCAGAGACCCTCATGGACACAAAATGGGTGACATCTGAGTTGGCGTGGACATCTCATCCAGAAAGTGGGGTGAGTCTTCCTTCCTCACCGTCTCTCCTGAGTGTTGGTTGCTCCTTGCATGCCCAGCATCCGTCCTCCTGGCCATACCAGGGCTAAAGAACAAGGCATGCACGCTCTTTCTCCCTCTCCCTTTCCCTCTTCCTCTCCCTTTCCCTCTCCCTCTCCCTCTCTCTCTCCCTCTCGCTCTCGCTCTGCCTGTCAGTTTCACTTCCCGCAGCATCTGCATCCTTTTCACCTGTTGCCTGCCTTCTTTGCCTGATGGCCCATCTCTCATCCTCCAGCCTGCCTGTGTCTGCTTGCCTCCCACATACATGATCTCTGTCCCATTCTCTACCCACCCCTCAGCCTGTCTTCAGCTATTCCCATCCCCCTCCAGCCTGACAGCCCTTTGCTTGTCGGCCCTGACTCTCTCCCTCCTTCCTGGGTCCCTGGGAAGAGCACTGGCTTGGGAAACCAGGAAACCTTGGTTCCAGATCTCGGAACTTGCTCTGTGACCTTGAGCAAGGCAGTTTACCTTTCTGGGCCTCCATTTCTTGATTACTAGATTCCTATAATCCTGACATCACTAATTAACCTCCCCACTTGGCCTCCGTAACCCCACGAAGCCCCGGACAATAGGGTTTGGTGGCACTGCAGGCCTTCAGCCGCCAGGCCTGACAGAGTGAGCGTGGGCAAATCCCTGCCTCTGTGAGCCCTGACTACTGCTTCTCTAGAGTGGGGACAGCAGATACACCTTCTCATGGGGCTGTTGGAAAGGATAAGTGTGCTGGCCCGTTTTATTGAATGCTTGCTCTGTACCAGGCACCGTTACAAGGACGTTACGTGCTTTACTTCCTCCTAGCCTCATTTACTCCCACTCAGCCCCTTTTTACAGCCAATGGCACGAAGGCGCAAAGATAATAAACATTGCGGCTAATACTCACATAGTATTTATCGAGTGCCCTAAGTGCTCCGTTCACTTAAAGCCATTTATCCCTCGCACGTCTTTGTTCTTGCCGCGTTACCGGCGGGGAAACGGAGGCACGGGGAAGTCCGGGGACTTGCCCAGCGTTACACGGCAATGCAGAGCCCTGGGATCTGAAGCCAGACGGCCGGTGTGTTCCGCTGCCGCACTGCCGAAGCGTCTCTGTGGAGTGAAGATAGCAGGTCTGGGCATGTGGCGCGCACCTGGCAGACGTTGGCGCTCACTCCCTGTCTTTTTCACTCGGCCCGTGCGCAGTGGGAAGAGGTGAGTGGCTACGACGAGGCCATGAACCCCATCCGCACGTACCAGGTGTGCAACGTGCACGAGTCGAGCCAGAACAACTGGCTCCGCACGGGCTTCATCTGGCGGCGAGACGTGCAGCGGGTCTACGTGGAGCTCAAGTTCACGGTGCGCGACTGCAACAGCATCCCCAACATCCCCGGCTCCTGCAAGGAGACCTTCAACCTCTTCTACTACGAGGCCGACAGCGACGTGGCCTCGGCCTCCTCCCCCTTCTGGATGGAGAACCCCTACGTCAAGGTGGACACCATCGCGCCCGACGAGAGCTTCTCCAGGCTGGACGCCGGCCGAGTCAACACCAAGGTGCGCAGCTTCGGGCCGCTGTCCAAGGCCGGCTTCTACCTGGCCTTCCAGGACCAGGGCGCCTGCATGTCGCTCATCTCCGTGCGTGCCTTCTACAAGAAGTGTGCATCCACCACCGCGGGCTTCGCCCTCTTCCCGGAGACCCTCACTGGGGCCGAGCCCACCTCCCTGGTCATTGCCCCCGGCACCTGTATCGCGAACGCTGTGGAGGTGTCGGTGCCGCTTAAGCTCTACTGCAACGGGGATGGGGAGTGGATGGTGCCCGTGGGCGCCTGCACCTGTGCCACCGGCCATGAGCCAGCTGCCAAGGAGTCCCAGTGCCGTGGTGAGTGGGAACTTGCCTGGGCGGGGTGGGGGTGGGGGTGGGGGGGAGGGCAGAGGGAGGGAAGAGCTTGGGCCACAGCCGCCTATTGCCCCCTGTCCGCTGCTTCCTACCTGCCAGGCAAGGTAGTCTGGTGTCAGGGCTGGGGTGGGGGAGGGAAGGGAAGAGGGGTATCAGGTGCAGAGAATGTGCTGCTGCAAGGAGGGAGCTGAGGAGAGACGATGAGGAGAGGTAATAGGATGAAAAGAAGAAAGAAAGAAAAAAAAAAAAAGAAACTAAATAGAGAGGAAGGGAGATGGGAGAATTCTGGGCCAGGGGACCCTGGAGAATCTAGTCAGAGAATCTAGTCAGAGACTCCGGAGGCCGGCAAAGATGCCTGTTTGTCCCAGCCCCAGGGTACGCCGCACCCTGGAAATACAGCTGTGGGGAAATACCATGTGCTTGGCCCTTTCACCTTGGGGGTCTTATCTGCTCCCTGAAAGGTGGTACTTAGCACAGTGGGCAGGGACCCAGCCTCTGAAGCCTGTGTCCTGCCTCTGCCCTGTGAGACCTTGGGAAAATGGCTTAACTCTTTTTTTTTTTTTTTTTTAAATATATTTTATTGATTTTTGTACAGAGAGGAAGGGAGAGAGATAGATCCAGAAACATCAATGAGAGAGAGTCATCGATCAGCTGCCTCCTGCACACCCCCTACTGGGGATGTGCCCGCAACCAAGGTACATGCCCTTGACCGGAATCGAACCCGGGGCCCTTCAGTCCCCAAGCCGACGCTCTATCCACTGAGCCAAACCGGTCCCGGCTGGCTTAACTCTTGAACCCCGGTTTCCGCATGTGCAGAACAGGGACAGTACCGGGTTCTCTGTGGAGGCGGAGTGGGGCTTACCTGAATAGATGCCCATGAAGCCTTGGCGCCGTGCCTGGCCTGTGGTGGGCACAGATGCTGTGGGAGCTCACTGGACTCTCGGGAGCCCTGGGGTGCACGGGGACCAGGGATTGCTCTGTCTGTGTTTCTCACGCGAGGAGGTCAGGAGGCTTGTCTCTGGCGGCTTGCAGTGTACTCCTAAGACCTTACAGCGTCTTACTAGGCTTCCCCTAATTGAGTCTCACCACAACCTTTTGAGGCTGATGCCAGTTATGTTCCCTATTTTGCCAATGAGGAAACTGAGTCTCAGAGAGGTTCTGCACCCAAGGCCTCCGAGATGGGATCGTGGGAGCTGGGCCCAAAGCCTTGTCCAGCGCTCTACCACGCAGCACAAGGTGCCCGGGCCTTTGTCCGGTTCTGTTGAGGGATGGGAGCTGGCCCTAGGCGTAGCCCCTAAGTGGAGGGGCTGGCTGCCCCAACCTGTCTGTGAGGGCCAGGGTTGGGTGTTGTCCTGAGAAGGTGAACAGTGCCTTACCAGGCCCCTCTCACTTTTCTAAGGGAACCTGCCCCCAGACTTCCTCTCTCTAAGTGGAGAAAGGTGGTGGGGGTGATGAGCCTGACAGCCTGAAGAGGGGCGAACACTCTGCAGGTCCCTGGCAGGAAATGCATACTGGTTCCCATGGCAACCAGGCTGGCCTGGCCTCTGCCCCCTCCCCCACTGGCTCAAAGGAGCTTGGATGGAATATCACCTTCGTGAGGGGAGATTAAACCCCAGGGAAAGGCGCGTAGCCCCAACCCCGGGCGGGCATTCCACACTCTGGATGATCTCCCCAGAGGCAGTGCTTGTGGAGAGGGTGGCCACCTGCTTTCGTGTGCCCAGGGCATCCCTAGTTTATGCCCATTGTCCTAGCATGATTATTACTAACGACCCCTTTAACTCTGGGAATATTCTGGTTTGAATAATAAGTTATATGGCCGTCATAGATCAGACAGAGCCCAGGGCCCAGGGCCCAAGCGCAGGTGGTAGATAGCAGAAGAGAAGGTGTGTCCAGGCATCCAGCTCTGGGCTCTCTGAAGCATGAGGTTCCCCTGGTGGATGCTGTGAGGCCTCTGAACTCCAGGTGACCCCAGCTCTCCTGCCTGCTTTTCTTTCTCTCCTTTCCTCACCCCTCTTCTGCCCTCAGCCCTGCCTAAGGGCAGAAAGAAGCTGCTGCCCTGCGCCTGGCGGGTGGGGAGAGAAGCTGGTTGTGAAGCTCGGAGGCCCCCACCTCCAGTCTGTCCTGGCATGCCTCGAGGGTCCTAGGGTTTCCCTCGGGCCTCGGAGAGGGGTGGGGGCAGCCCACTGGAGCAGAGGGTGCTGCCAGTTCGTTAGTGGCTCTCCCCACTGCCCTGTCTCTACAGGCCCAAGCTGTCCAGGCTGAAGTCTTCAGCATCGGGGCACCGGGCTGGGGGCAGGGTCAGGGAGGAATTCGCTGACGTGGGGTTTCCACGGGGAAAAAGGGCCTTTTGTAGCTGCAGTGGGAGTTGGGCAATACCAGCGTGGCCCCCACAGTCTGGAAGGTGCTGGGGAAGGGCCAGGTTCTCACGGTGGTGTGGAGGGTTGGTGTCTGCGGAGAAGGAAGGGAGCTGAGCACGCCCTTCTCCCCCCCCCCCCCCCCCCCCCCCCCCCCCCCCCCCCCCCCCCCCCCCCCCCGCAGCCTGTCCCCCGGGGAGCTACAAGGCGAAGCAGGGAGAGGGGCCCTGCCTCCCCTGCCCCTCCAACAGCCGCACCACCTCGCCAGCCGCCAGCATCTGCACCTGCCACAATAACTTCTACCGCGCGGACTCGGACTCCGCCGACAGTGCCTGCACCAGTGAGTGAGCGCGCCCCCGCACAGGCTCTGGCTCCGGGCCTTGCCTCTGCCGGCCAGCCCGGGAGGGCCCACACGGTCACGATGAACATCTCCGCTTTCCATGTGGGGAAACTGAGGCTCAGCTAGGGAGTGACCGGTCCTTCCACCCACGTTTAATGAGCACCTACCAGCTGTTGAACATCAGGAACGAGCTGGGGCCTTCTGGTCCACCTTCCTCTGTGCTGGACAGTGGCTCTCCTAGCCCAGCTCTCACCACTGAGCAGTCCTCACATCCATGGAGTCGCCTGGCCTCCCGCTCTCTCCCTGCGCTGGCCTTTGGTGTGCCAGACATGGTGCCAGGCACCAGGGATGTGGAAGAGAATAAGATACAGTCACCGCCCAAAAGGCAACCTGGTGGGAGAAGCAGATATAAAGGCAGATAATGACCATATAATGTGCTAAGTGCTGGGCTGGAGGGATGCCCAGGAATTGTGTTGTGGGTGTGCAGAGGGCAGGGAGAGGGTGAATTAGGAAGGCTTCCAGGAGGAGGTGGCATCTCACCAGGAGTCTGCCCGATGGAGAAGTGCATGTAGGAAAGGCACTCTGCTTACCCTGTTTCCCTGAAAATAAGACAGTGTCTTATATTAATTTTTGCTCCCAAACATGCTCTAGGTCTTATTTTCAGGGGATGTCTTATTTTTCCATGAAGAAGAATACGGTACACATTTATTGTTAAATGAAAATAAAGGAAATTTCTTACCTGTATACAGTACGGTAGTACGGTAGTTGTCAACACAAACCAGACAAACTGTGAATCCTACAGTATCAAGAATTTACTCATTTATTCAATGACAATCATGTCATCATCTTCTGGAACATCATCATAACAATCCAATTCCTGAATTTCCTGGTGAATTTCTTGTGACTCCATTTCTTTCAGAATCAGTGGACCAAATCTCTCATGTTTAGCAATAGCACTGTCTTTAAATGAGTACTTCTTGTCAAGGTAGCCTGCTCGCAGTGCATTTGCAATGCAGCTGTCAGGGATTTTCTCCCATGGATTCTTCACCCAAGTCACAACTTCTTGCAGTTTAGGTTTCACAGAGTTTACGGTAAATTAATTTTCATTCTGAGACAGAGCCTAGGGGGGCCTTATTTTCGGGGGATGCCTTATATTTATTTCACTCAGAAGGAAACCTGTAAGTAGGTCTTATTTTCGGAGGATGTTTTCTTTTCGGGGAAACACAGAGGTATTAACACAGAGGCGAAGGCGAGGAGGGAAAGGCAGGTTGGAGGGAGCAGGAACTCTGTGCAGAAGGGGAGTCCTAGGTCCCTTAGCTCTCTGCCTTCTCCCTCCTCCTCCTCTGCAGCCGTGCCATCGCCCCCGCGGGGTGTGATCTCCAATGTGAACGAGACCTCGCTGATCCTCGAGTGGAGTGAGCCCCGGGACCTGGGCGGCCGGGACGACCTCCTCTACAATGTCATCTGCAAGAAGTGCCACGGGGGCCCTGGGGCCGGGGGCCCCTCGGCCTGCTCCCGCTGCGATGACAACGTCGAGTTCGTGCCTCGGCAGCTGGGCCTGACGGAGCGCCGGGTCCACATCAGCCACCTGCTGGCCCACACGCGCTACACCTTTGAGGTGCAGGCGGTCAATGGCGTCTCGGGCAAGAGCCCTATGCCGCCCCGCTACGCGGCTGTGAACATCACCACCAACCAGGCTGGTGAGGAGGGCACTTGGGAGGGTCGGGCCTGGGTCACCTTCCCCAGACAGGGTTGGGGTTTCTTAGGGCCTGCCAACGGGCCACTAGGGGGGACCGTGGGACCTGGGTCCTTGGAGGAACCTATGGTGAACCTCCCCCTCCCCCACACTCTTCCCCTAGCCCCGTCCGAAGTGCCTACACTCCACCTGCACAGCAGCTCAGGCAGCAGCCTGACCCTGTCCTGGGCACCCCCCGAGCGGCCCAACGGCGTCATCCTGGACTACGAGATGAAGTACTTTGAGAAGGTCAGAGCCTCACGGGGCAGGAGGCGGCCTTGGGACAAGGAGATTACACCCAGAGAGTGTTAGGGACCCTTGGGAACAAGGCCTTGGATCCTGGGGTCGGGGGTGGGGGTGGGGGTCATGGGATGGGCCTGGGGGTGGGCAGGGGCTGACCGCCTTCAGAACCCGCTGAGACCCTCCTTCCCCCCGGTGGTGCAGAGTGAGGGCATCGCCTCCACGGTGACCAGCCAGAAGAACTCCGTGCAGCTGGACGGGCTGCGGCCCGAGGCTCGCTACGTGGTCCAGGTCCGCGCCCGCACCGTCGCCGGCTACGGGCAGTACAGCCGCCCGGCGGAGTTTGAGACCACAAGTGAGAGAGGTACATCCCTCGCTGTGCCTATTCGTGCGCCCCAGCCCACACGTCCCATCCCTCCCCTCACCGGTGCCCTCCCGCCTCCAGGCTCCAGCGCCCTGCAGCTCCAGGAGCAGCTGCCCCTCATCGTGGGCTCGGCCACGGCCGGGCTTGTCTTCGTGGTGGCTGTGGTGGTCATTGCCGTCGTCTGCCTCAGGTACGCCCGGGCCCACGCTTGCTCCCATGGCTGACTAGGGCTTGTCTTAGTACCCTAGTGCCCCGGTGAATCAGTGCCCACCTCACACACACACCCCGAGCCACAGCCTTCCTGGGCCCCGGCTCTCCTTGCTGGAAAGGTCCTCTCCAGTCCACGCCCACATCCTCACCTAGGCCCCTCCGCATCCCCCGAAGCCACGGGCAGAGCTGTTTATCCACCAACCTTACAACCAGGCACTGGGCCACCCCCTCCCCCGCAGCCCCCAGGCACGCTGCCCCTCCTGTGTGCCCTCGGGTCCCCTGAAGCAAGGTTGCTGTGAGACTTGTCTCAGGCCTCCTTTCCCTCTCCTCCGCCCTCTAGGAAACAGCGCCATGGCTCTGACTCAGAATACACGGAGAAGCTGCAGCAATACAGTGAGTGTGTCTCCGTACGTTCCCTCGGTCCCCTCAGGGCTTGGAGATAGATGCCTCCTCCTGCTTCCAATCAGTGCCATTTCCTGAGCCCCTGCCTCCCTCCCACCAGCCTCAGGAGATGAATGAGGCGTGACCCCTGTCCTCAAAGGCAGTTAGTCCTGTGAAGAAGACAAGATGTGAACACATAGGAAACAATGAGAGAATAATTCAGTGTTAAGCTGGGTGTTCCTGTTTCAAGGGCGGTAAGGGTTCAGAGAGGAGGAAGGCTTCCTGGAGGAGGTGGCCTGGGGCTGAGCTGAGCCTGGCGGGATGAGTAGGGTTTCGGGTGAGTAGGGTTTCGAGACGTGGAGGGGAGAGCATTCCTGGCTGGAGGAGCCTCTGGAAGGCCGTGGGTGGGGTCGGGAGAGTGCCCAACTGTGGGGGCAGTGAGAAGACTGGCTTGACAGCTGCTGGGAAGCGAGGTGAGGTACTGGCCGCCAGTCCTTGGAGGGTCGTGAAAGGCAGGCAGAGGAGTTGGGACTTGACTCCACCATAGGTAATGGGAAAGGCTCTCATGCCGGGGAGCGATACAATGAGAGTATTGTTTTTGGGGAGACAGGTATGCGGGCAGATTGGTGGGAAAAGTCCAGAGGCAGAGAGCCCGGCTGGGAGGCGATTGCAATAGCTGGAGTGTTGAAGGCCTGGACAAGGACAGGAGCGGTGTGAATGAGGGGAGGGGCAGATGTGAGAGAGGCTTTGACATGATGAGAGATGAGGGTGAAAGGAGAAGAATCCTAGGTGCCTTTTATGGTCCCTGGTTCTCACAGAGGGGATGGTGGGGAGGGAGGGGGCAGCTGTGGCTTTGACAGAGGAATCTGGAGCTGGCTTAGCAGGGTGGTCACAACCTGTGCTCCCACAGCCTGAGGGGGCAGACTGACCCGGTCTCCTCACCGAAGAGCCGCCCCCTTTCACACCCGCCTTTTCTTCCTCTAGTCGCTCCTGGCATGAAGGTTTATATCGACCCTTTTACCTACGAGGACCCTAACGAGGCCGTGCGGGAGTTCGCCAAGGAGATCGATGTGTCTTGCGTCAAGATCGAGGAGGTGATTGGAGCTGGTGAGTCCCCAGGGGCACAATGGGAATTGGGGGGGGGCGGTACCCCAGGGGAGGGCGGAGGCAGGCTGGGTAGGAGCATTCCAGAAATAGCTTACTACCTGTGCCCTGTGCCCTGCAGGGGAGTTCGGGGAAGTGTGCCGGGGTCGACTGAAACAGCCCGGCCGCCGGGAGGTATTCGTGGCCATCAAGACGCTGAAGGTGGGCTACACCGAGAGGCAGCGACGGGACTTCCTAAGCGAGGCCTCCATCATGGGCCAGTTTGACCACCCCAACATAATCCGGCTGGAGGGCGTGGTCACCAAAAGTCGGCCAGTCATGATCCTCACCGAGTTCATGGAGAACTGTGCCCTGGACTCGTTCCTCCGGGTAAGAGCCAGCCTCCGGCCCCTTGCCTGTCTCCTGCCCCGAAAAAGATGGGTTGGGCAAACCACTTCCTCCCACAAGTCACACCGACCCTGTTCAAGTCCATGATATGTTTATTAAGGGAACCAGCAGGGACTTCGGAGCCAGAGAAACCCCAGTTCGCACCCCGACTCGTCCCCCCTGCCTGTGTGACCTCAGGCTTTTGCTTACCTTCTGAGTCCAGCTGCCTTGATTGTTAAATGGGAGTGCTGGATCTGTTTGGGTCCTCACGGGGATTGAGATGTTGTATAAAGATGCCCGCCACACAGTAGGGCAGCTTCCTTACTCTCAGTGCCCTCTGGACATGCTCGCAAGGATAAGCAAAGCAGTCTTGGAGGAGTTGGAGAGGGTGGGTAGGCAGGCGCTGGGCAGGCCCTGGGCCTGATTCAGCTTGCTTGTTGCCTCCAGCTCAACGATGGACAGTTCACGGTCATCCAGCTGGTGGGCATGTTGCGGGGCATTGCTGCTGGTATGAAATACCTGTCCGAGATGAACTACGTGCACCGCGACCTGGCTGCCCGCAACATCCTTGTCAACAGCAACCTGGTCTGCAAAGTCTCGGACTTTGGCCTCTCCCGCTTCCTGGAGGATGACCCCTCTGATCCCACCTACACCAGCTCCCTGGTACAGCAAGCAGCTGGGAGGGAGCCTGGGGGCGGGGCCAACCAGGCTCGGGGCTGGGGATCAGCCCGGAGTCATAGGGTGAAGGGCATGTGCCCCCCCCACCAGGGTGGAAAGATCCCCATCCGCTGGACTGCCCCAGAGGCCATAGCCTATCGGAAGTTCACCTCCGCTAGCGACGTCTGGAGCTACGGAATCGTCATGTGGGAGGTCATGAGCTATGGCGAGCGACCCTACTGGGACATGAGCAACCAGGATGTGAGTGGGACCAGAGCGGTCTGGCGGGTGGGGGCTGGCTGGGGGGTGGAGTGGGTTGCTCACTCCAGGTCTCCCTGTGTTCTCTGCTCAGGTCATCAATGCCGTGGAGCAGGATTACCGGCTGCCCCCACCCATGGACTGCCCCACAGCGCTGCACCAGCTCATGCTGGACTGCTGGGTGCGGGACCGGAACCTCAGACCCAAATTCTCCCAGATTGTCAACACCCTGGACAAACTCATCCGCAACGCTGCCAGTCTGAAGGTCATTGCCAGCGCCCAGTCTGGGTCAGTACCTCTGCGTCTGCTCCGACCCTGCTCTTAAGCCAGCAGCCCTACCCCGGCTTCCTCTGTCTTTAGGACTTACCAGGTCCCTCCTTTTCGCCCACAGCATGTCACAGCCCCTCCTGGACCGCACAGTCCCGGATTACACAACCTTCACGACCGTTGGGGACTGGCTGGATGCCATTAAGATGGGGCGGTACAAGGAGAGCTTCGTCAGTGCGGGGTTTGCATCCTTCGACCTGGTGGCTCAGATGACCGCAGAGTGAGTGCGCCTCAGATTTGGAGGGCCGGGGCAGGGCAGGGGGGTCTGAGCTGGGCACAGGGTAGTGAGCAGAAGGGGAGAGACTGACCCTGCCCTCGGTCCTTCTGCAGAGACCTGCTCCGGATCGGAGTCACCTTGGCTGGCCACCAGAAGAAGATCCTCAGCAGCATCCAGGACATGCGGCTGCAGATGAACCAGACGCTGCCGGTGCAGGTCTGACACCCAGCTCCCACCGGGTGTGCGTGCCCCGCAAGGACTACACAGGGACCCTGACCGGCAGGCTGGACTCTTAGACTTTCGGGTGCCCGGCCATCGGCTGCGGCCCAGAAGATGAACGTTTGGGGAGGCCCACGCTAGGACTTCTCCTCCAGGCCTGTGCTCCCTCCCCGGAAGGTGTGCCCAAAACCTCTTCATATTGAAGATGGATTAGCAGAGGGGTGATGACTCCTCCTCAAGCCCCTCGGGGGGCCCAGGCCTTCCTGTTCTCCAGTGGGGGATCCCCCACTGCTTCAGACGTGGCTGTTCTTCAGTGGAGGCCCTGGCAAGGGCAGGTTGGGGATAAGCCTGGGTTCCATAGGGCCCAGCCCTGGCAGGGGTCCGGCCCCCCAGGTAGGAAGAGAGCAGTCCCTCCCTCAGGAACTGGAGGAGGGGACTCCGGGAATGGGGAAATGTGACACCCCCATTCCAAAGCCAACTGGCGCCTCCAGTTTGCACAGGGACTTGTTCTGGGGGCTGAGGGGCCCTGCCCCACCCCCGCCCTTGGTGCTGTCATAAAAGGGCAGGCAGGGGCAGGCTGAGGAGCGGCCCTTGCCCCCCCCCAGAGACTGACTCTCAGAGCCAGACATGGGTTGTGTGTGTGTGTGTGTGTGTGTGTGTGTGCAGAGAGCGTGGGTGAGCGTGTAAAAGCTTGGCCCTGGGCCCTGCAGTGGGCCCAGCTGGGCCTTTCAGCGGAATAAAGGCAGTAAGATGATTCTCTTGCCCCTTCTTATTCCACTCCCAAGGTGGGATTCCCTGGTGCCCTCAACTTCATGTCCCGGGGTGCCAGCTCTTCAGAACTTCCTGGAGTCACTGGGAGACCAGATCCAGGCTCGACTTCCCTGTTTTGCTTTATCATCAGTGCGTCTAACGTATTGGCAGTGGGTGATGACAGCAGAGCAGAGTGCAGAGTACCCCGGAGCTCCCTCTAAGGCCCAGAGTTCCTGGATGGAGGTGGTGGTGGGGGGGTTCTAATTAGTGTTTTACAGACACCATCCTTTTACACCCATTGTCTCAAGTGGCTGAGGGCAGAGCGGGTTGGTCCGATCCCAGGGTCACGTGGCTAGGGACAATGGTATTTAGCTGGAGAGGCCAGCTCCCTTCAGCAAACATCAGCCCAGACAGACGTGTGGCTCCTCTTTTCTGAGCATTTACTACGCTCCAGGCACTGGGCTAAAATGCTCCATGTAGACACAGATCGTATTTAATCTCACAACAACCCAGCGCCAGGGAAGGAAGTATGTTTATCTCTTTTTACAGAAGGGGGAAAGGGAGAGGTTAAGAAACTTGCCCAAAGTCGCTGAGCCAAATGAAGGAGGTCTGGGGCTGGGGTTTCCCTACCCGAAGACAGCCTGCACACTGGAAAGGTTCAGAGGATAAATAATAAGAACCAGGGAGAGGGTCAGGAAAACAGCTTCTGGAAATGTCAAAGGAGAGAACGTGGGGATGGGGGAGTGGGAGCAGGGAGGGGGCTTGCAGGTGCAGTCGCTTGCCCAGCGTCCAGAGGGGCTCTTGGACAGTACAGCACACCCCTTGCGCGCGGCATCGAGTAGGTTCCCCGGGTACCTGCACGGCCCGGGATTAGAGCTCCGCCGGCTGGGCCCGGTGGGGGGAGGGGCGTGGACAAAGCCTTCTGGATCAGATGAAGCTCCTCACCCTGGACGCCTCCAGGCGGGCCGAGCCCGCAGGGGAATTCCAATTGGGGTGATAGCTAGCTAGGGTTGGAGGGGCTGCGGGCTTGGAGGCCCAGGGGACCAGGCCCTGGAGGACAGAGGCAGCCTGGAGTCTGGGATGGAGGGTTTTGTTCGGTGCCCCGCGGCCGGCTGCCTGGGAGGGAGGGAGAGGGGAGCCCGGGAGGCGGGGCGCGGGGAGCGCGCTGCGCAGGCTCCCGGCCGCTCCCGCTGCTTAGCATGCCCGCCACGGAGCCCGCGCCACGCCGCAGTGGCTGCCCGGGCAGGGGCGCCCCACGGCACCCCGGGGCGCGGAGGGGGTGGGGCTGGGCTCCTTTGCGGGGCCTCCTGTCTGCCTGGTTGGGGAACTCTGCAGGAGGCGGGGCAGGAGGAGGATGCGGGGCCGGGGTCGCTGCGGGCTTAGGCGCCGGAGCTGTCAAGGGCGCGGGGTGTCGCCGGCCACGGGGGGAGGGGACGCGATGCCCGGTGGCGCCCGGCACACCTTGCGCCGCATTCCCGGGGTGAAGGCTCAGATAACGGGGTGGGGTGGGGGGGCGCTGAGGGGTGCTCCCAGCTCCCGTGCAAGTATCCACTTCCTACTTCTCGGGCTGCTCTGGCTCTGGGACGGGAGAGGGTCGGTGGCCCAGGTCTCCTGGAGCGACCCCCTCGCCGCCCTATGCTGCTCTAACCATGTTGGCGGGAGTATGGATTAGGGGCTCTGCCGGAAGAGGTAAGACGTCGCCCCCTACTGGGTTCGCAGGAAGGGCGGGATCTTAGACTGGGAGCACCAGAGAAGTGGGGAATTGGGGGGGAGGACGCGGGAGCCACACACTGACCACGGTCACTTGTTGTGTGCGGTGGGGCCCCCACATCTCCAGGCTGCAGATTTCGAGGGACATCTTGGCCCCAGAAATCCAGGGTGCGTAAGGTACTCTGCTGGATGTGCCTGGAGCCCATAACCTCCCTCCACGTGTGTCCATTGGCCTGGAAGCCCCACCCCCTTGCACACCTCGCTCACACACACGGAAACTGCGGGCTGGGGCACGCCACAACCAAAGCCACACCCACACCCTGTCCCCGAGTCACCTCCCTTACTCAGGTTCACAAGTCTTCAGTTACAGGACCTTCCCTGGCCCCACCTTCCAACCCTCACGCCCTGAAGGGTGGTGGGGGAAGGGATGCAAAGGAGGAAGGACAAAAGCCATCCCCTTTCCGGAAGTGCTTTCCTACCCTGGCTGCTGAACCAACCAATCCAGCAACCTGTGTGAGGCCGCACGCCCTGAGCAGGGGTGCGAGGAGGGGTGGGCTGTGACTACAGCAAAGGAAGAATGTGGGTATTCAGGAGGGGCCTGGCTTTCCTGGAGGCAGATAAGGAGTGAGGGGGAGTGAGGTCTGAATCTGCCCAGTCTTGGTTAATTACACACACTCCTGGGGATAAATGATTAGATCTTCCAAGTTAGTGCTTAAAAAGGGAAGCCAGTGTGTGTGTGTGTGGGGGGGTGGGGGGGGGGGGAAGGGAAGGTTTGGAGTTGCGGGAGGTGGGGGGGGGAGAGGTGTTGAGGCTTGGGGGTAGGCAACTGTCTCTTATCCCCCCCCCCCAATCCTATCTGCCCCAGAGAGGCAGTCGCAGGCCCAAATGACCTGTTTTGTGCCCCTCCCTGGGCCTGAACTTTGTAGGGACAAGTAAGAAGAACATGCTGCTCTAGGCTGCTCTAGCCTCTGACTGCTTCCCTCTCCTCCAGGGTGGCCCCAGGAAGCAGGAACCTGGAGAGCAGCCCTTAGATCTAAGCCTGGATGTCCAAGTCCTGGATTAAAACCTGAAAAATCTGGAGCCACTGGGGTAGGGCAGTGGGAAAGGCATAGATTTAGAGCAGCGGTCGCCGACCTTTGGGACCTCGGTGGTCCTTGGACGGCCGGTTGGCAACGATTGATTTAGAGCACAGGCAGAACTAGGGTCAAAGCCCAGCTTCCTAGTCTGTGACCTTGGGCAGGTGGGCCTCTCTGTGCCTCAGGAGGATCTAGAAAAAGATACAGTGATCATTCCTACCTCAGGAGACGGTTACAAACACCAGTCAGTTGGTATATGTGAAGGATGGGCCAGGATCACAGTGAGTACTCAAAAATGTCAGCGACTATTTTTATTAACATGAAGTTTAAAGAAAATACAGGAACAGGTAGGAAAACGCTGAATACAGCTTGGCACTCGCAGGGTTCAAAGGCACCAAAGCTCTTGGGGAAATCCACCAACCCCATTCCACCCATGGGGATGCCAAACGCTTTGATGCAGGCTTAGCCCGGGCCTTGGACCACTTCCTGAGAACAGGCTGCTGGGGCCTGGGTGATTTGAAGGCCACGAGAGTGCAGAAGCTCGTTATGGGGGAAAGAAGGCAGCAAGCTGCTGAGGAAGCCTGGTTTCTTCATTTCTCCCTTTGGCCCAGTGATCCTGCTCCCCTCCTGGAGGGCTCTCTTCCCATTCATTGATTCTCCAAATACTTACTGGATATTTACTATGTGCCAGGCACTGTGCTGGACACCAGTGACACTGGGAAGAGCAAGAACAGACAGACCTCAGTCTAATAGGGACATGGAGGCTGTTCAAACCATCTTACAAAGAAATGTATATATAATCACAAGTCGGGGCAAATGTTACCCTTATGGGATTAAATCACACCTCTAGGGACTTGAGCTAGTTTGGGGCAAGGCTGGGGGCCCTCTAACCAGTTATCTGTTGCTTAGGAAAGAGAGCTGGGGCCCCCATTACCCTCCAGGTACCTTTAACTTTTTGGCATCGGACCCTGACTATATCTTTATTCACTTTCTCCCTTACTCATTCATTTATTCAACAGACCGTCATTGAACCTGTCCATATGCCAGTCCCAGAGTGTGGAGTTAGGGAAACGGAGATAAACCGGCAATATCGCCACTCCCTGGAGGTACCCATAGCTCAGAGGGGACACTAATACTAGTATATAAATCAGCTAATATGATGATGTAAATGCTACAGCGAGTTAAACACCAGGTACTATAAGGAAGGGACCCAGGCTAGGAATTCTGTCAAAGAAGACTGCCCAGGAAGGTGACTTGAAGTAAGCCTTGGAGGCTGTTAGTAGTTAGCAAGAGGGGAGGAGAGAGCAGTATATGCAAAGGTCCTGGGACAGGTAAGAGCAGGGTAGTTTATTGATCAATGTCATATGTCCACGACCCCCCTCCTTCCTCTTCCAACTCAGAGGATGGGGAAGGAATAGGGTCATGGATATGTGACCTTGACTAAGCCTTTCATTCCCCATAATTCATCCCCAGTTGGGGCCATCTGCTTCCCATAACCCTGAGAGCCAGTCTTGGGCACCTGTTCCCAGCAGTTCTACAATTCCACAGTGTCCTTTGGGCACCCCATAGGTTGCTATTTCTGTAGTCCCCTGCTCTACCTCTTCTCTGCTGCAAGTTGCATTTGCCCTCAAGCGTGTCTGAGAACATGATTCATTCTATCCCTAGTTCCACAGAAGAGCTCAGAGAGATTACATGGCTTGTCTGAGGTCACAGAGTCAGTCAATGGCAAAACAAGATCTGAATCTGACAAGCCATCCATGCTTCTGTTTTCTTCCCTCTACATCAGGATACCTTGGAAGAGGGCCGAGGGGAATCTAAAAATGCTGCACCTGGATGGTACATCCAGGCCCTTTCTGGGCCACTTCTGAGTGATGCTCTCCCCGCTCAGAGGGGCTCTGCACACAGCAAAGGCCTTCCTTAGAGCGAGGAAGGGAGAGAGGAGAGCCGGGATCGGGAAGGTAGAAGGGTGGGGGCCCAGGTGCTGAAGGCACTGTCAGTCCAGTCCAGGAATGGTATAGGGTTCCAGCTCGGAGGTGGGGGCACAGGTCTGACAGGCAAGCAGCTCTGTCCCTCCACCTCTCCTCCCTGTCCCTCTCTGTTTCTCATTAATTATTCCCATCTCATGGAGTAGGAATGAAAACAGACTCAGGATCTGGCTGGAGGCCTGCTGTGACATCAGCCAGAGGTGGCTGCCCTGGCCCTGATGGTTGGGGGC